TCTCCGCTGCATCGCACACATCTCCACATGCGCTCGGTCTACCACATACTTTGGCAACGGAACGAAAGCAGAATGAACAGATGAGATCATGAGGTTCATATGTGTCATTCCCTATACCCTGGCACTTCGTGTTGTCCTTATCCACCGTACACGCGCACACACAAATCGATGTGCGGCGGGAGGCTTCTCGTCGCATAGAACACTCTGTCTACCTTCTACCGCACACACACACATATATATATATATATATATATATATAGTCCGCTCCTGCTACGGAAGACGAGCACAGGTGGTTCATACGTGAGTATGCGGTGCATCAGACACAATGCTCTGCGCAATACCAAAAGCTGCTATTCTGTTCCTCATTCTTACATTTGCTGCTGGTATCTCCAGGGGTGATGCTGCCCGTCTTCCACACAGGGTTTGAGGCCAAGACACCCGCACACAACGGACGAGGTAGGTAAAACCTCTCTAAACACACTCTACGCATAGGCATTGGTATACTACCGCCTGACACGCGCATGAATCCACGCGTAATGTTATGTGACATGCTCATGAGGATATCACCATGGCAACGACGCACATGCATCCACACGTAGTATAATGTTATATGCCCATAAGAACATCCCCATGGCAACCACACACATGCATCCACACGTAGTGTAATGTGATATGCTCATAAGAACATCCCCATGGCAACCACACACATGCATCCACACGTAGTGTAATGTGATATGCTCATAAGAACATCACCATGGCAACCACACACATGCTTCCACACGTAATATAGTGTGATATGCCCATAAGTACATCTCCATGGCAACCACACACAAGCATCCACGCGTAATGTAATGTGATATGCTCATAAGAACATCCCCATGGCAACCACACACATGCATCCACACGTAATGTTCTGTGACATGCGCATGAGTCCAGCACACATCCTTTGGGTCTGAGATCATCCACAGTCGTACTCTGTCCACCTATCTCTCCCAGCAGAGGTCCCTGCTGTGACGTTGCGATTGCTTCTTGATCACACGCACGCCATGGCCGAGGGGTTGTGTGACTTACTGTCCGTGGACCAACACAACGAGCCAGAGATAGTGCAACTGGTTGGTGTGGTTGAGAAACTGGCGCACCTCACCTGGTCCCACCTGCACTTCTACTTGACTACGGGTGAGTGGGATAGGATACGTACCTACTTTATAATGGCGTATTTATTGCGCAGCCTATGGTAAAGTCTGTGTTATGTTCTGGGCATTCATCGCCTCTGTAGCTCACTATCATACGCTACGTTAATAAGTTATATCTAAGTGCTCGTGTGGTCATTCATTGCCTCTGTAGCTCACTATCATACCCCACGTTAATAAGTTATATCTAAGTGCTCGTGTGGTCATTCATTGCCTCTGTAGCTCACTGTCATACGCTACGTTAATATGGTAACTCTAAGTGCTCATGTGGTCATTCATTGCCTCTGTAGCTCACTATCATACGATACGTTAATAGGTTGTATCTAAGTGCTCATGTGGTCATCCATTGCCTCTGTAGCTCACTATCATACGCTACGTTAATATGTTATATCTAAGTGCTCATGTGGTTATTCATTGCCTCTGTAGCTCACTATCATAGGCTACGTTAATATATTATGTCTAAGTGCTCATGTGGTCATACATTGCCTCTGTAGCTCACTTTCATACGCTACGTCCACATGTTATATCCAAGTGCTCATCTGGTCATTCATTGCCTCTGTATCCCAGTACCTTCACATGGTAGGTCTTCGACCGGCAGTAGCTCTGCCGAATTTGGCTCATGGCACATCAATGGCACACAGGCGCATGACTTGTCTGTGTACAGTAGGCAGCAGCTGGCGGGGCTGAAGCAACTGCTTTCAGCACAGGTGAGTGGTGGGATGATACGTGAGCTTTGTTGCATAGGTAGTGGTTGGAGGGTGTCCGTGATGCCTATGAAAGCTTGGCTTATGTTGATACGTGAGCTTTGTTGCATAGGTATTGGTTGGAGGGTGTGTGTGCTGCCTATGATAGCTTGGCTTATATTTATACGTGAGCATTGTTGCATAGGTAGTGGTTGGAGGGTGTCTGTGACGCCTATGATAGCTTGGCTGATGTGGATGTGGTAGTAGTGCGTGTTGTTATACAACTGAGCATGAAACGAGGCGACTGTGCTCACAGGGAATGATGCCTGTAGCCCAGGAACCGTCCACTGACGGCCTATGCATTTACTCAGACCTGCACTTTTATTGTGCATTGCACTGCAACTATCATACAACTCTTGAGTGGCTGCATCTCTCATAGCTTGCTTGTTTTCCCGTACACAGATGGTGATGCAGCTGAAGATGTACACCGACATCACTTTCATCAGGCAGCTCTACCGTGCTGCGGAGGATCTCATCTCTGATTGTTTATGTCCCAGTAGTATTAGAGAATAAAGATTACGTCCTGAAATACGTCACAGAGTAGTCCAACTTTTATTGTGTGTTAAATATATACGGCAGGGCCCATATAACCCAAAGCCGCATTTGATAATTGATTGGTGTTCCAATTCAATAGTACAGTGCTGCGTTTGACATTTGGCCTTGGCGCATGGCTCTGCGCGCATTTCTTTCAGTCTATCTCTTTCGAGTACATTTATGCACGTTTCTTTCAGTCTATCCATTTCTTGCATTGCATACCCCACACAAAGCTTCACACCAGACTGGGGCACTGGCGTTTGTGTTGCTGAGTGATCAATAATCAATAGACGTATGCACATACTGCTGTGGCTTTCGAAAGCATACGGTGCTTTCATCATGTCCGACTGTAGTGAAATCTACACACCTCATTCGAGTATCCATCTGCACAAGCCCTCTCTTTGGTTCTCTCGTTCTTGTCGTAGTTTCTTAGAGGCCGTCCATGCGCAATGACAAGCATGTGTATATGTTATGACAAGCATGTGTATATGTTATGACAAGCACGTGTATATGTTACGTTGCTCAGCTAGAGGCAGTCCATGTACAATGACAAGCATATGTATATGTTATAACAAGCATGTGTATATATTACGTTACTCGGCTAGAGGCAGTCCATGTGCAATGACAAGCATGTGTATATGTTATGTTGCTGCGCTAATATGTTATGTTGTTGAGCTAGAGGCAGTCCATGTGCAATGACAAGCATGTGTATATGTTATGACGAGCATGTTTATATGTTATGTTGCTGAGCTAGAGGCAGTCCATGTGCAATAACAAGCATGTGTATATGTTATGACAAGCATGTGTATGTTATGTTGCTGAGCCAGTCGCAACGAAACTTCATCCACAGCGCTACAGCAATGAAGACCCTATAGGTACATCGGACGACATCCACCATTGTGTGTACTCACAAACACGCAACAGTGCCAACAACGCATAAGGTCATGAGGAGACGATTTAAAAAACTCTAACCCCCATTAAAGCCCCTCATTCGACGTTAAACCGCGCCATGCTGGACATGATAAAAGTAGCGTATGTTTTCGAGAGCCACAGTAGTATTTGCATATCATTTAAAAGACATAAACGTGGCGCACAAAACTGAGATACAGAGGCGGTGAATGGCCAGAAGTGAAATTACATTCAAGACAAATTAACGTAGCGTGTAAAACTGAGATACAGAGGCAAAGAATGCCCAAAAGTGAAATTGCATTCAAGATATATTAACTTAATACAGAGGCAAAGAATGACAAAAAGTGAAATTACATAAAAGACATATTATCGTAGCGTACAAAAGTGAAGTACAGAGGCAACGGATGACCAGGTGCATAGGTTTAAAATCGCTGCGCAGTAAGTGCACAATAAGTACATATGTGTACTGCCCGACTTGCCTGTAGTGAAGTAAATGAACAGGTAAGGCCATGTGAGGCACACTGAGACCTCGAACCCACCGACCAGTGATATTAAACTGATTTGGTTGATTATTAGTTGATGCCGAATTGATATTGGATGATACATAACTGGTGTTGGTTAATACTGATAATGGTTGATATGGTGGGCTGATATATATAGAACTGATATTGAATGAGATTGAACTGATATTGGGAATATGGATGATATTGAAATAGAACTGATAATAAGTGATATAGAAGTTATTGATACAGCAAACTCACATTAATTGGCATAGAGCTAATATTAGTTGATTTAGAACTGTTATTGGTTGATATGGAACTGTCAATGGTTGACATAGAACTGGTGTTGGTTGATAGCGAGCCCATATCGGTTGTTAAACTGTTTTTGGTTGATATAGAACTGAAATTGAATGTTCTAGAACTGATATGGGCTGATATAAATTTATAAATAGGTGATATTGGTTGATGTATAACTAGTATACTATTTGATATTAAACTTCATATATAAGTTTAAACCTCATATTGCCATATTTGTTGAACGGTTGTGTAAAACTATTGATATATGTCAGGATTTAAAAAAACTTATTTATGTGACTTGTTAGTTTTTCTATGAGACTTTATATCGTGTGATCATCGCTGAAAAATACCTCCGTGTCTCTACTCACTAGATGGAAGTGTGATACTACAGTGACAAACCACGTTTGAGAAGCATTTTATCGCTATTGCAGCAAGATTCCATTTCCGTGAGTTTGTAGTGTCATATTTTAAATAAAGCCTTTAATGAACAAAGTAACTATTGAATTGAAGCTTTATATCGTGTGATCATTGACTGGATCATTATATTAATAAAACGATTCTAGCGCACTTGCCATGCAACATGTTGGCGGACATGTGATGTATTGTTAGCAATGCTATTGTAGTATTATAATTGAATTATGTAACATACGTGCTATTGATCGTTGATCACTGCTGTACAACAACAAAATCTTGATTATCTTCTAATAAAAGATAATGAATGAAAGATACCCTGTGCATGTCTGATAATTGTTTATTTCAAGCGATGTGTAACAGTTTGTACATCTTAGTCTATTAAACTTGCCACCAAAACCTCTGTATTAGATCTATTAATCGAAGTACTTTTGCTTGGTGTAGCATGTTAACCCCGAATTTTTAGGAAGGTTGTCCCCGATAAATTGCGACCACAACTCGCACCGATTGTTCGTGCCAGCCTCGTATCCCGTGCACCATGGATTGAGACCACACTCTTTCCGGCAATCAGACCCGGAAAGTTTAACTAGCTTGTAGTAGTCTTCGTCATTGTCATGTTTCCCCTTGGTTCCGCGACAGGCACGGTGCTCGTCTACATCATATTCGTACTCGACATAGTGTGGAATTTCCAGGTAGTATGTTTCTTTTACATAGCACGTAAGATCGTGCATTCTCTGTAGTTCATCGCCTATCTCGGAATTCCACAATTCACAGTGCTTATCCTTACCTGTCTCATAGCCTGTGCACTGATCATCCTCCTCGCAATACTAACGGCATTGACTGGGAGAAGCTCGGATACGCTCGTAGTAGCTGTCCTTGTTGTCATACTTCCCATGTGTACCGCGACAGGCTTGATGTTTGTACACCTCAAATTTTTATTCGGGCTCTACGACAGATCTAGTCCCTCTGTCGCCAATTGTGGGTGCAATTATGGCGAAAGCCATAGTCTGAGCGGCGATGAGACTGATAATGGAGGCTTTCATATTGATTGGAGGGATGGTGTTGATTGCGTGTGGTGGTTTTGAATGTAATGATTCTCGTACTGGTTTAGGCCTTTCTTGTAGACGCTGAGAGTCAGAGACGCGTCATATTGCCGATGCATATTTTTATTTCAGACTGATTAATATTTACAATTCTGGATTTGTTCACAGCTGTTTCGGTTTCTGAGTTTCACACACAGATCGAGAAAAAGGAACAGACAAGTTCGAAGTCGGAGTATATCGATATATCCAGCCAATAGTTGTCTTGTTTTAGAATTATATATGCGATGAATAAATATTTCTTTCATGAGGTCATCGATCGTTTTGATATCAGATGACATCATGCTTCATTTGGGGTTTTTTTTGAAAAACAAAATATACACAAAAGGCATATGTCTTGTTAGTTTTTTTAGGAGGCTGTGGAAATATAAAGGCCTTTTGAGATTTCATTACAATCCCTCGATCACTAGATACAGATAAGGCATATGCAGCTGGATGTATAGTCGAGTGAGGTGTGTAGATTATATTACAATCTCTCGATAATTAGTGTGTAGATTTTATTACAATCCCTCGATAACTAGATAGGGATAGGGCATATGCAGCTGGATGTATATTCGAGTGAGGTGTGTAGATTTTACTACGATCTCTCGGTAACTATTTGCGAAAGCACAGACAAGATCGAGAAGGAGAGAGAAGTGGGGAAAGGGCGACATCCCTGTCGTCGGGTTCATTCAAGGGCATCGTCCGCGGCAAAGGTACCTGGCTGGATTGGGATGCAATGAATTCATAGGTAATCCCCACTGCGTATTCTACCATCTCGCGAACGCGTGCTGTCGCAAATCGCCACACGTCCACACATGTGTGTACGTTCCACACATGTGTATACGTGATACATGTTCGATCTCTGGTGCTAGTCGCGACTCGGAAGGCACGTATGCGCTTGGCGACACGCGCGCTTTTTGACGCGTGTTTGTTGGGGCGCGATCCTGCGCGCCTACTTATACCATACGTTTACATGAGACACTTGGTGCTCTACGTAGGAACATTATATGCGGCTCAGCATACATCACTAATATAGTGGTGGTTGGTTGTGAGCGAGTCTTGTCGCGGACTTTTCTTCTGAGGGGAAGCTCTCATCCAGAGATTCGCTACACCCCAATCCAGCAAGTACAGCAAGCACACGTACCCAGTACGCACGTGGTTGGTGCAAGCGTGTCCCACCAGTACCATCACCACACACGCGTTGTTCGTAGGGCGTGTGCTATGCTAAGCATACTCGTGCACAGCCGTACATGGCTAGTATGCTGCTCAGAGGAATAGCGTAGACGTACAGAGACACAGGACATAGACGCTGGGCTAGGGTGGGGCCGAGTGGTCACGTACGGTTCAAGGTGTACAAGTATGGCAGAGACCGGGCCATTAAGCGGGTCATACATACACACTATACTGTAGGTAAAACGCTAGTGGAGGATGCTACACCTCAATGAACTCGACTGTGTCCGATAGACACGCCGTGTTGTCCCCTTCGATGACTTGGCCTGGGCATCGCATGGGACAGAGGCAATAGCAGTGAAAGTTAGGCTAAGCGACTGAGTGGGTCAGGGCACGTACTGGGATGAAACTACGCACAAGCAGTCCACATGTACGGATATGAGCAGAAAAAGACACCGGGGTAGTATATATATATATATATATATTTCAGCGTATATGTATATGCTTGTATATAGCGTATATGCGATCGATTTTTGAATGCTAATTACCTACCTGGTATTGTACTACCAACATACTGCATGGTGCACACTCCTATGGCTTAACCACTGCTTTCCACATGTTGCTATCACGCCCGCCGCATAACCAGCCACTTCATTAATACCTGTTGATACTATACAACTACCTCGAAATACTCAATCCGCGCTCCACAAAGATACGTGCACGCATACTACAAAGGTACGTACAAGTATACTACAAAAATACGTGCACACACACACTACAAAGATACGTGCACACATACAAAGACACGTACTCACACACTACAAAGATACGTGCACACACACTAGAAAGATACGTGCACACATACCGACAACGAACGCTTTCCAGCCCTCCTCCGCGTGTATGGCGCGGCAGAAGGCGTCTGCGTCTGCTGGTGCCATGCACATGAGCAGCCCACCGCTCGTCTCGGCACTGTAGCCCGTGGCCAAGTTAAACAGCGCCCCTCCTTTGAGCACTCGGTCGACCGCTATGGTCCCTTTGATGACTGAGATGGGGTAGTACACAGAGTCAACAGAGGTTGTTAGAGGTGGTGAGGTTATGGGTAGGCAGACTGGAGATGGTGAGGTGGTGGGTAGGCGGACTGGAGGTGGTGAGGTGGTGGGTAGGCGGACTGGAGGTGTTTAACACAGGGATCAACAGAGATTGTTAGAGGTGATGAGGTGGTGGGTAGGTGGACTGGAGGTGGTGACGTGATGGGTAGGCGGACGGGAGGTGTTTAGTAATCGCAAGTGCGAAGCGATACAGACAGACCATTTGCCACGCACACTCACACGGACACGGCACAGCACAGATGAAGTACACATCAGAAAACGACAGACAATTCCGGACTGTACTACATCCACAGAGTGGGTCAATGCGCAGTGGTTGTATTTTTAGGCCACACTGAGATACAAAGGGAAGCGTGGATGCTCGTGTAGGAATACTGTGGTGCTGGCAGCTGAGGCGAACGTTTTCTATGTACCCAGTAACCTATGTGTATGTACTATGTGCCCCCAGTAGCCTATGAGTATCTACTATGTTTCTCCAGTAATTTATGTGTATGTACTATGTGCCCCCAGTAACCTATGTGTATCTACTGTGTCTGGAGCGAACATTTTCTATACGCCTCTCGTTATCTTTGTGTATCTACTATGTGTCTCCAGTAATTTATGTGTATGTACTATGTGCCCCCAGTAACCTATGTGTATCTACTGTGTCTCTGGAGCGAACATTTTCTATACGCCTCTCGTTATCTTTGTGTATCTACTATGTGTCTCCAGACTGACGCTAATCTATCGCTGTAACGACATACAACCAGTCACAATTGACCAGAATACCCACGCACATATGAGTGCACAAGCTATGCTTAGTACAATGTATGATTTCTCGGCCAATCAGACATACAACCAGTCACAATTGACCAGAGTACCCACACACATATGAGCGCACAAGCTATGCTTGGTACAATGTATGATTTCTCGGCCAATCAGAACTCGCTACTCTCTGGGTTTCTGTCACAGCCACTAACATACAACGTTCCCATGTGGCTATGACAACAAACACCAGGTACACTGTCAACCCTCAGTGCAACCATTGCCATCTGAGTCTTTGTTGTATCGTTAGCATGGCCTGACCACAGCTAGCCAAACAAAGAGACACGGAATGCCACATATATAAGCACACAAGGATTCAATCTGTAGGTCAGTGTGCATGGACTAGTATAGGTTACACTCGAGCCTATATCGCCTCCCCAGCATGGCCTCAGCGGCCTTAAAAAATAGCGAGCAGGACAGTCGCACATCTTAGCCTTTCCCGTTCCTAAGTGAATGTGAGTACACACACCTGGTAGGCTGTCTATCCTCAGGGTAAGTTTGGCCTTCTGAGCTTGAGCCAAATTGTTGGCGTGGCCCAAAATACCGAACCCGGTCACATCCGTCGCCGCCCTGGCGTTGTGTTTGTGCATCAGTTGTGCCCCCACCATGTTGAGTCTGAGCAAGTATTGACAGTAGATTTAAAAGAAAGTATAGCACTTGCAACACACGAAGACCAGGAATTCAGTGAGCGGGGCGAATGGCTGGAACGATAAACCACCCGCTAAAGGGGTTATGCTACGGCCTTGAAGCTGTGCACACGACTAGACGAACAGCAAACGGTAAGGTGGGAATGATAGAGAGTGTCGCCTACGCCACAGCTTGTACACCGTTTCATACCAAGCCAAGCCAACGGTAATGGCATACACCGCACCCATGTGCTACACTGACATCCCCACACAGAATATCAATATCAATATCAATATCAATATATATATATATATATTTATGTATGCATACCTATCCGAAAACGAACCCGAGTATATTATATATATATACAACATACGTGCTGTGTGCATGGGCGCATGTACACCCCTAAACCCCATATACAAGACCGCACCCACCTCTTCATGGACGCAGACGCCACATTGTAGGCTCTGATGACCGTCTCCGCGTCTATCACGTGCTTGACCTGGTCCCACCATTTGGGCTGGTCCAGCCACTGGTGCAAGTTCACAGCCAGTTGGGTGCCCAGGGGTTTGGTCAGTACCATGACATCCCCAGCACGTGCGTTCTCCGGAGTGATGACGTCGGTGGCTAACATTACGGACTGCGCCACACCGCCCAGAATGGGCCACGGGTTCATCACACTCTGGCCACCAGTCACCTACGGGTACGCATATACATGTGAATGACATATGCGAATAAGGCAGGACAGTGTATACATATACATATACATTTGAATGGCAAATTTGAATGACGCAGCGCAGTATACACATATGCTGAATGGCATATGTGAATGACGCAGCATAGTATACACATATACATAAACATGTGAATGGCATATGTGAATAGCGCAGCACAGTGTACACATATACATGATTTGAATAAAGAGAACACATCACTCCCAACATCGAGGCATGTCCCAGGTTCTGGCACTCACTTTCAACAGCTGGTAAACACAGCCAACATGCAGGGCATCTCAGTATTACGGCAGTTATGTTATGGGTAACCTCACGACAAACTCCGAGTGAGCGCAAACACCAGAACTCCGTATGGGGATGTAACCATGAGTAATGAGCAGAGCTGGAATTCAACCAAGCTCACTTTAATAACACAAGATCCCTTGAAACATAGTGGTACTTTGTGACAATACGTTATAAGCAGAGCTGCAGTACAACCAAGACCACTTACTTTGGTCCCGGCTTTCTTACACCAATCGTTGAATCCCCGAACCATCTCAACCGTCACTATCGTCCGATAGCTCGCCGGGATCTGAGTGCTATAACAGAGCGAGGTGAAAAGTAAGTACAAGTCTTTCCAAAACACAACACAAACGCATCTCCGGCATAAACATAGCTGCATATAACTATCTGAAGGTCTCCGGCCCAACGAGAGCGCCAGCTGCAGTGCAGTGGACGTCAGGGAGTCTCGAACTGTGCGTCAAATAAACTATGAGCATTGGCACCACATAAACTATGGGCATATACATTAAATAGTTCGGTACTCAAGAGGATATACTATCTGTGACACACAGTGATGGGATGGGTATACATACTACTAGTGCACAACACCTCGTCAACGTAGTTAGATTGTATTTGAACTGTGTGTGGTAGGTAGCTTGTATTTGGATTGTGTGTGCTTAGAGCCTCAGGCGTAGGCGGCCATACTGATAGTCCCAAGGTGTTTGAAGAAACTACAGATGCTATCAGCCAGATATATGTAGACCACGTGCGTTGATTACATCTCACACTTCAATGTATGTTCGCGTTCTCCACAGTTATAAGTTAGCAAAACCCGCAGGTACACATACCTGGATGCAAGGATCATGAGCATGTTGTCTACTTTGCGTGCGCCCACAGCATACATATCGGACAATACATTGGCACACGCGATCTGCCCTTGAGTGTAGGGATCATCCACTAGAGGATAGAAGAAGTCCGTTGTACTCACCATCACAACACCTGGTTACGGATGAAAATGTTAAAACCAAGTTGTCTGTGAAAGCCTGGGTGATTTAGGATAGTCACCGGCCGACTATAATTGCCGGTAGCAGTTGGTCCGTCAATAGGAACCCAACGTATATCCTCAGAGATTGAATACGTAAACCACGTCAACCAGCGAAGCTCCCACCTTGCGCCTAGTGCGTGAACGTTTTCAGCACCTGATGTCACCACCCAAGAATATCACGCAGAGCCAGTAAACGAACGTCATGGACAAACCACGCTGAGTACACGCACAGTTGCAGTGCCTGGTCCTACATACCAGCAGCATAGGTACAGTGACATGAGCTAGTAATGTAAAATACTTGACATCAAACACACACAAATCTGTACGCACATATACATTACATGACAATGCAGACACATTGCCGTTGACCTAGAATGATATGGACAGGTACATTGCAGTCTTATATACCTGGCATACGTTGAGTAAATACATACCTGGAATGGATGTGTCCAGGATGCTGCAATCCATGCGGATGTCGCCGCTGCCAATAGATTCCAACAGGCTGGTTAACTCAGACTGTGGAATCTTACAGGCTCACCCTAATATAGGTGAGAAAGTCATCGGTATGTTGTTATGACAACGTGATATCAGTGCGAATTCTACCATGAACTTGTGGGTATGCAAAATATAACTATACTAACGCCATCCCCGTGAAAAAGCTATCCGCATCATATCGCACGCTCACAATGTCACACACGATCCCAAATCTGTTATGCAGAGAGTATACTACGAAGCACACAGACACGCGAGCTCAAACCACCACCACAGAAGTCAGCTACCGCGTGAACCTGATCAACCTGAATATGCACAAGGGTAAAATAGTAGACATCACATCTGTTTACCGGATCGAATCCTAAAACGCACATACGCTATGTTTAACAGGGCGTCAACTGCAATATCACCATGCCCCTATCGACCTAGCTCCAACTTTAACTATGATTTTAACTACACATACATACCTTTTAGGGTACTATAGTCTGTTAAGCGGAAATCAGTTGGCAGGCCATAGACGGTGGGGTCCCATGTGTGCACATTGTCTACCTCAGGTACAGCGTCAGCCACGAACCGCAAATGCGTCTCGCTAGCCCTCTCGAGCCGAGGCTTCTTCGGTTCACTCATACAAGGTGTATTCTCGATGCCAAATTAAACCGGGATCATGGAGGTACTACTATAACACTATTCATATATTTTATGAATATCATTCTTATAGGTATGTATAGATGTTTCCAGCCAGGGGGTAAATAACCATTCACTGAAGAGACGCCCAGAGCTTCTCGGCCCCGGCAGAGTCCAGAGTGACACCCCAGAGAGAGGGTAATGAACTCGTGACCTTGATTTTTTATTAATTTTTATATTTTAATATTTTTTATAATACTATTGTGTGGGATTGTAAGGTGTGTTTCACTGTTTCTTGGGCCGCAGGTGCGTAGGGCCGCGGCCCCCTGGCACCTGGGCCAAGGGCCTGAAGTGCGACTGTGCGAGGCTGGTCACTGGGGTCTGAAGCCTGGTTTGAACTCTGAACTTCTGAAGTCTGAGAACCAGCGAACCCTTCGTGATAAATACTTGTTGTACCGGTGGGGCTGATACTTGGTAGGCTAGAGCAAAATAATCTATTTATTTTTTTAAAATACCACCTGGTTGTAGTAATTTGTGATGATGGTGAGGTCTATATTAGAGAAAACCAGAAAAGCGCCAAAATAAAACTAAGCAGTCGTAAGCGTCGGTCATAAGTGTGGCAGTTGAATAAGCCGTCATAATGATGGCGGTTTAAAGAGTCAGTCGTAGTTGAGACAGTTTTAGATTGCCCTCACCAGTCTGGGGCAGACTGGCCGGCACCGACTCAAGTCACCGGTAGGCATCTGCTGAGCGGTGGCAACTGGCAAGTGCCAAGTCAACGAATGCTTCACACTTTTTTTTACTTTTTTTTATAGCCCATATATACTCATTATATCATAACCTATAACCGTACAGAGGGAAGCAGCTCTCGTTTCTATCCCTATCACATGCGGAAGCCTGTGGGTAATCGCCTCGTATTGGATCAGTTCAGAATAATGACGAGCCCGTACACCGTTTTGACGTTTATTTCAGCAGTTGGAAGGGGTTAGCTTTGATCTCAAGATGAAGGCTAGGACTAGTCTTGCCCGGACGTTCGTTTCGATTATTTTGGTCGCACAGGCAGTGCATATGGGAAAAAAACCCCAGGAGAACTAAGAACAAAAACCTTATATTTTATTATAAGGAGCAATTCTCGGTCTCACTGAATAGAGAGGTATGTTAACACAATGAATAATAAATAACGTTCTATCGCACCAAGTTTACATGTATAATATGCGCTTTGATTTGAGTATTTGCTCTTATACTGAACAACGAGTATTGCTGTTTCCATATACATACGTCTACACACACCTGTCGATAATATATATGTATATTGATACATATAGGTATATATGAATACACATGTTTGCCCTTGAATATATTCCTAATTATGCATTCATTTATATAAAATCAACTGTCAGATACACGCTCACACTCACAAGCAT